CCCGGGATCATGACCTGAGCCGAAGGCAGACGCTTAATGACTGAGCCACCCAGGCGCCCCGATACTCAGTGTCCTTTTATCCCTCACCCAGAACATACACTTGCATTTGTATTGTGCTTCCATTTCTCATCTGGGAACCCAGTGTCAGAAGCTCAGCTAAGCTGGAGAGAGAGCTGAGTGGCCAAATGTGAGAGATGCCATTGAAGTCACAAGCCAAAAATGAATTAAGCTTTTGATCATTTACTGTGACAATATAAGCAAGAGAAAACTCTGACTGCTCCTGTCCCGTTTTCCTTCATGGAATGGCACACTGATGGAAGGTCGGCGGGTCGGTGTAGATGTAGAGGTCATCTCACTGAGGAGTCCCCAGGTATCAGGCTTCTGCAATTTTATGGCCTCAAGGGCCCAGGGAGCTGGTGGAGGGTGGGGGGAAGGGCTAGAAGTGAAAAAGTACCGAGTACTGAGTCAGAGTAGAGAGAAGTGTCTTTAAGGTGCCCCCCTTCTGCAACCCCATAAGGAGGCCTTGGCAGAAGCACCTGAAGACCTTTGCCGAAGGCCTCCAATAAGACCTAGAGTGAAGGCAGCTGTGCTAGGAACTCAACTATGCAAAGAGCATGGCAGGCCGGATGGGTCAGAGTCCTTGACTAGAACTTTCCTTTAGAGACTGCAATGCACTGGCTGGGCATCGAGTTTGGCATGGAAACAGCAGTTTTCCCGCAAGGCCTGCCAGATAAAGCCTAACAACTGCATATTGGGTGGGCCTGGAACACCACACACAGGTTTGTAACCAATCACAAGCATCCTCCGCCATACCAACAATTTGCTAGGTTGGCAAGTTTTTAAGTCTTCCTAACTCTATAAAGAGGATTAGTAACTTTTTAACTTAGTTGTTTTGTTTTTCCTGAAAATAGCAGTTAAATGATTAAAGATGGTGGTCTAGGTGTAGGGTACATTTTGACAGAGTCTGGCCAGCCTCTTAACCAGCTTAAGCAGTTTGGATCACAGTAGTGTCCTGTGGTAGAAGAATCATTGAGGGCTAGTTCATCCCCAGCACTTCAAATGGAGTGTTTTAAAATTATTGGACTACGACACTGAGAGTGATCAGCTTTTACAGAAGAGAAGGATCAACTTTTCTTACTGAAAAATGATACAATGATCATCTACTTTCTTTTCAAACTTTATAGAAAGTTCGAAAATTTCTACATAGGCTGGGGTCATAAATATAGTCCAGACAACTATACACCCCCAGCTCTACCACCAGTTTACCAAGAATACCCCAGTGGAGCCGAAATTACAGAAATGGATGATCCTAGTGTGGAAGAAGAGCGGGCTTTTAAAGCCATACAGGAGAAAGCAGCTGCTCTTCCAGTTGAAGAAATGGAAGAAACTGAGGAAGATGAAGATGAGGAAGATTATGACCAAGAATAGTATCAGCCCAGTCTTGTGTGAGACTGGTACACATACACTGTGTGTGGACCCGATTTTACATATATAATATGTAGTATAGAATTACATAAAATTGGCAACTATTCATGTGCAAAATGTCGTTCCTTGAAAATGTCAGGTTTGGAATTTCGTATGTGCAATAGCTAATATGTACTTCTAGAAAGACGCTCGATGGATTTCCCAGAGGCTAAATGACATGTTCTTACATCGCTGTTCTAATGGCCATAGCTAATAGAATAATGTGTATTCTTTAAGAAAAAAAAAAAAAGTCTTAGGTTTAATTTCTAATATGGCAAACATGGAAAGATGTAATCTACAAAATCTTCTTGGGGACTTTAATATTTGTCAGTGGGTGCTGGGACCAAAATTATTGATAATCCCTGAATCAGAGCATGTTTTTTTAACCAGTCTGTGATACTATATGCAAATATTGTGTATGTATGTTTGTATGGGGGGTGGGTTGTTTTTTGTTTTGTTTTGTTGAGGACAGGATTTATAATTCTATCACCTGCTCAAAGGCTGGGAACACTCAAAATTTTAACACTTTTACTTGTTACTTCTTAAAAAATGTTCTCAGTCTGACTCCTTTATCCTATAGAAATTGGTTTGATCTGATTGGGGAAAAATGATCTGCACAGAGATGGCTAGCTGGGATATCCAAAGACTTCAGACTACAGTTTTTCTACTACTGTTTCTCTAAAACTAATTATTACTTCCATTCACTAAAAAAGTATTTTTAAGTCCTCTATGTGCCAGGCACTCTGAGACTACTGTTAAAAAGTAGACATTGCTCCTGAAATCTTAGAGCTTCCATTCAAGGAGGGGAATATGAAAAGAGAAATAGAAAATTAGAACAGATTGCAACTTAGCAGGTATTGTGATAAAAATGTCACAGGGTACCATAGAACAGTGTTTCTCAAAGTCTGTGAAGTACCAATTTAAAAATAAAAATTATAATCCAATGCCATTATTTTTGTAAAATAAAATATCACAGCAATTCTAATTTCTGTAATTATCTTGTCAAGGACTGGCAGTTCTCAGATCACTGATCTATCTACACTTTGAAAAACACTGTTATCAAAAACTTAGAAGGTGCATTTAATCCAGACATAAGCCTTGCAGAAAGCACTTCCAAGAGGTGGAGAACTATGGCAAGAAGGGTCCTAGGCAGCATCAACTGTTTTTTCGGCAAAGGATTTTAGGCTGGAAGGAGTAGAACTTTGAGAGTGGTGAGAGATGCACCTGGAGAGGTAAGCAAGGCCCAGGTTGTGTGGAATGTCTGGACTTTATCCAGGAGCAATGAAGAAGACTCAACTAGGAAGTCACAAAATCACATCTGTATTTCAAAACATTTGGTTTACACGTGGAAGACTGACTGACAGAGGATCAAGACAGGGAGACCAGTTACGAGATTACATTATCTAGATAAAAGGTAATGGCTTGAAACAAGATAAAGTAGAAACCTGGTGACCTGTCTGAGGGACAGAGTATTAGGAAAGATGGTTTCCAGAATTTTCTAATTGGCAATATTATTCATTCTTGGAGTGCAGCTTTCACTATTTGATGGAGTAGCTAATATTCATAAAACCGTATTCAAGTATGTTCTTCCTTTTTCGTGTTGCTTTTTTGTTGTTGTTGTATAATATCCATTTCCTTATCTACTCTGATTTCCTTTTGAGAAACTGCCTCTGTCCCATGGCAAAGTCTCATGCCAATCAGATGTGGCCTTTCTAGAATGTGAATTTTGAGCAGAGACATCCGACCTCGGCTCCTAACCTGGTAGTTCCGCTATGAATCAGATCACATTCTAGCCTCTAGAATTGCCTTTGTTCCAGCACAGTTTCCTAGTTACTGGTGTATTCTCTGAGCTTCTGATAATCTTTCAGTGAATTCCCTTCTGCTCAAATTGGCTTAAGTAGGATTCCTGCCTGCAATCTTACTTGACACATCCAACATGAATCTGAAAGTTTCTTTCCTACAGGACATGTTAAACCCAAAGTTCTAATTCACAGTTGTATGGGTAAGAGTATAAATATTTAACAAAAGCAAATCCCTCTTTTTAGAGCTATACCTGTTAAATATTAAGGTAATTTCTAAGTGAGGAGGAGGGAATTTCATTATATATGTTTTATAACAAAAGAAAGCAGAATACCCAAATGTAAGAGCTTGGAAGGGAGACAGCCTGGGTTCACACCCTGGATTACAATCATTTTCTTGGGCAAATTACAAACTTTGCAGAGCTTCAGCTTCCTTACAGGACTAACAGAATTTGTCTCACAGAATTGAAGATTACAGTAATTAATACATGGAAAATACTAAGAATACCTAACACAAGGACCCAATAAATATTACATATGATTAGCATACAAAACCAGTTTCTAACACATAGAGAGGAAATACAGAACTCATAATGCAAACAAAATTGTTTATTGAAATAGTTACTAAAGAATGAGGTACACGAGGTGTGATTTAGATGTTTTAGAAATTAAATTGTAAGTTGGGTAAGGAATTCAGATTCGTAAGCTGTATTAGGGACCTTAATATCTGAATTTGGAAAATAAAGTAAAATTCCATGATCACTGAAAGGCTTAATTCTTCAAGGAATCTTCTCGGCTGTGAAAACTTGAGAAGCTTGTCTCCTGGCCTTGAAAAGGAATTTTAAAGAACTGTTAATTTTAAGCAATAAGTCCATTATTAGAATATATATTAATTATCAAATATAAAAAATAAAATCTAGAAATTTTTTCAAGGTAATGAAAATTCCTTAAGAAAAATTACAACTTCAAACTTAGGAAATTAGAAATAAACTTTTTTTTTTTTTAAGTAGGCTCCAGACCCAGAGTGGAGCCTGACGTGGGGCTTGAACTACAGACTCTGAGATCAAGACCTGAGCTGAGATGGAGTCAGGTGCTTAACTGACTGAGCCACCCAGGCATCCCAGGAATAAACATTTTTAAAGCCAAACCAAAAAAAAAAAAAGAAAAAAAATTAAACAAAATACCAGATAAACACAAAACAAAGTAAAAAGAAAATTCATTGTTTTAAGGAATAATGAGTCAAAAGTAAAAATGATGGATCACAGTCATAGACAGACATGTATAAATACAGAGAAGGAGAGATAGAGCAGTGAGCAGAGAACCTTTAAGAAAATTATCTCCTTCATTATGGTCTTAAAAATGTCACTTTAAAAGACTTTTTTTTTTTTAAGATTTTTATTCATTTATTTGAGAGAGAGAGAGAGCACAAGCAGGGGGAACAGGGAGAGGGAGAAGCAGATTCCCCTCTGAGCAGGGAGCCTAAGGGGGCTGGATCCTAGGATCCTGAGATCATGATCTGAACTGAAGGCAGATGATTAACCGTCTGAGGCACCCAGGTGCCCCTAAAAGACCTTTTAAACATTTGTTCTATTTTCACAACTTGAGTTACAAATCAAGGTATATTATACCAAGCTAATTTAAAACAAAGTTAAATCAAGATTACATAATGGAAAACAAAGAATGCAGTGACAGAATTTAACTACAACATGTCAACGTATGAAAAGAATTGAGGAAAATGGCTATTAAATAGGTTTGTATGCGTTACTTAACTGAATTGCATTAGGAGATATTTTCCAACATAAATCCTTTCACCTAAACAAGTGTTCAAACATATACAACAGTTTGGAATTATTAGATACTCAAAATGTATTTATGGCAGAAATGTATTATGGTAATTATAGGACAGTTGTCAGGATAAAAACAATTTTTTGAAACCCGATTCCTCTCCTTGAATAAGAGCTGCATGATTAAAATATTAAAATTAACTCCAAATATGAAGAACAAAACATAAAATGCAGTTACAAATATCTACATTTTGGGATACTTTAAAATACCAAATTTGTTCTGAAATTCCTACAATTAAAATTATAGCTATCACTTAGGAGGAAAAAGACATTTTAAAATGAGCTATAAAAAAACAATCACCCTGAAATAAAAAGTAAAGTCATTAATGTGCCCTTAGTAAAAGACATAGGTTTCTATCTGGTGATATGCGGATCAATCAGTACATCAGTATTTGCTGAATTCCTATAATGTATACAAGCACTGTTAAAAATGGCAGAATAACTATAAGACACAGTGATTTTTTTTAAAAAAAGGAAAAAACAAAAACCTAAGCCTGAAAGCAATATGCGAAAACAATGTTAACTGATGATTTCTTTTCATTTTTCAAAATATATTGTCCTATCTTTTCAATAAAAGTGAATTGTTCACATACAAGCTTAATTAGCAAACATGAAATGATGAGACTTTGTATCCTCCCAGAAGAAGCAATATAGAGAAGGGCTCTGGATGTAAATAGACTGAATTGGAATCCTGCCTCTTGTTACTTAGCAGCTGTGTGACTTTAGAAATAGGATACAACTTTTTTGAGCTTAGGCATCCTCCTCTGTAAAATGGGAATAATAGTGACTACTCCATGGGGCAGTTGTGTAGATTACATTAGTTAATATTTGTGTAAAATGCTTAGGATGGTGCCTAGCACAAAGCAAGCATTATAAAGTATTACTTTATCAATATTACAATTATAATCATATTATTATTTCTTCTCTATCTGGCGGCATTGTACACAGTCAGCCAAGTTCTGATTTTTTTGGTTAAAGACACAGCTACTCTCCATGACTCAAAAAAAAAAAAAAAAAGAAGAAGAAGAACAGTAGCAAATGCACATTTTTAGTATTCTAACACCAATGTCTCAGTTTCTAAAACCAGAAAGTTAACAACTAAAATGTTCAGCTAGGCTCCATGATAATATTTAACCTCACCTATGCTCTGTTGATGAACAAGCATCTTGGTATTTATAACTATTAACACTAACCTCTAACAAACAAAAAACAGACTCTTAACTATAGAGAACAGATGGCTACAAGAGGGGAGGTGGGTGCGGGGATGGGTGAACTAGGTAAAGGGGATTAAGAGCACACTTAACTGAGTAATGTATAGAATTGCTGAATCGCTGTATTGTACACCTGAAACCAATATAATATTGTATGTTAACAACACTGGAAGTACAATAAAAATATAGGGACGCTTGGATGGCTTAGTTGGTTAAACATCTGCCTTCGGCTCAGGTCATGCATGATCCCAGTGTCCTGGGATTAAGTCCCATATTGAGCTCCTTGCTCAGCGGGGAGCCTGCTTCTCCCTCTGCCTGCTACTCCCCCTGGTATGCTCTCTCTCTGGCAAATAAATAAATAAAATCTTTAAAAATAAAATAAAATAAAAATATAGGGGCACCTGTGTGGCTTAGTCAGTTAAGCATCTGCCTTCCTCTTGGGTCATGATCCCAGGGTTCTGGGGCTCCCTGCCCAACGGGGAGCTTACTTCTCCCTCTCCCACACCCTGCTTGTGTGTGCATGCGTGCTCTCTCAAATAAAATCTTTTGAAAAATAAAATAAAAATATGTCTTTTTAAAAGTCAAGAATAAATAAATAAATAAATAAATAAATAAATAAATAAATAAAATTAATCTCTAACTTTATGCAGCCAAATTAATGATAGGGTGAAAAAATGAATGCAATTTTGGCATTTATGTCATGGCAAAGAAACCTTTGAGATATAATTAAATTGAAGAACCTCTGAAACAATCTTTGACTTTATATTCCAAGTTGTGAGGCTGAAAAGATGAACTCTAGTTCTCTCATTTCAAGTAATTTTAGTGCTTTCCCCTGTAATGCTGTTACTCTTCATAAATGCTCCTCTCTAGTCCTCTCTTTTCTCCTCAGAGAGAAACAAATCATGTGGAGTAGTCTAATAGGGACATTTTTTTTCTTTTAAGATTCTGGGAACTGTGCATTTTCTAGACTTGATATGACATTACATAGCTTCAGTTTATACCAAGTGGAGGCTTTTCAATCCCTAGAAATTCTTATGAACATACAAGTCACCACTTAACTGTAAGGGATAAAGAGGCAACTGTACTGAACTTAAATTCTAGAACTGTGTATATCCAGTAACCCCAAATGCATAAGATGGAGTCTCAATAATTACAAGAATCACACTTAATAAACCATAATTATTAAAACCAATATGCGTTAGGTCTCCGGGGATTAAGTGAGGTTTTCTTTACCATATATGTTATTAACAATTTTATAAGAGTAAATATTTTTATGAAGCTCTGAGTAAAGTATTTGAAAGTCATTAGGTAGCATTTGAAATTCAAAGATGTCCACTCCAGAAATTAAAACCAAAATAATGCAGAATGAGATACAAAGGGATTAACATTGATTCTAACTAAAAACTTTAAACTTGTAAGTTCAACTGGTTCAAGCTTCACATAACCAAATATGTAGATACTTACAACTTTCTCCTCTGAAGAAAGAACACCCTCTACTGCCACTATCTGGTATTGCTTATGTTTTAAATTTCCCACAAATTTCCGAAGTTGCTTGAGATTGCTAGCCTCCATGTCTTGCTTTAACAGTTTCTGCATTTCTCGAGAAGGACATCCAGGATCAAATATTAGTAAACATAATGTTCGGTTTTTTCTCTCTTCAATTCCAACAACTGTTCGACTATGACCTATCAAAAAATAAAAAAAAAAACTATATATATGTGTGTGTCTCCTGTCTATTGCTATACATATAGACATGTTATTAAATACACACACACTATATATTTATTCTCTGTATGCAGTGTGTGCACATGTGTGTTTAGAACAGAAATAAAGTCAGTCCCTCTGACAGGTACTCTCACTCTGAAGACACAAATAGTTTTAGTTCTATTTCCTAACCTTCAGTTTTCATTTGTTCAATTTTTCTTTTCTTAAAGGCTTCAATGCAAAAAATTTTATGTCTATGTGCCATATTATTTTAGTTCTTCTTTCTTAATCCCTTGATTCTTCTTATCCAAATTATTTCAAATGCATTATTTCAAATGCATGAAAGCATCTGAAAATTATCTACCACAGAACAAAATTTCTCATGAATCCAAAAGATAACAAAGGTAAATTTATATATACTAGAATTTCAATGGGGAGGGCTTAACCTTTACAGCTTGTATTCCTAAATGATGAAATTCCCAACATTTACTGCTCCTATTCCTGTTGATTCAAATCATCCATTCAACAAAGTTTATCAAGTATCCACGTGTCAGGCACTATTCCAGGCAGTTAGTTATACAGAAGCAAACAGAACAAACATTCCTGTCTTCATGGAGTTTTCACTCTAAAAGGAAGGAATACCCTATAAACAAGGTAAGTAATTAAGCATATTATTATGTTAGATGCAAAAAAATAAAGCAGGGAAGAGAGACAGAAAATGCCAGTGGTGAGGGGTTGATAACAAGATGGAATTTTAAATAAGGTGATAGGGGAAGGCCTCACTGAAGTGACATAGATGGAGACCTAAAAAATAAAGAAGTAAGGGATGAACAAGAAAGTGAACCAGGTGGCCCTGAAATATACAAGGGATAGCACCCTTCAATACCCAGGAAGGTACCATAATGACAATGTAGCTCTGAAAATCAGACTAATGTCACAATACTCCCCTCTTCCCTATTATCTGAATCTTAATCTGTCCTCAAGCAAAAGTCAATTAGTTATCCTCTAAAGGTATAAGCTATACTTATCATCTATGAGTTATACCAACCTTGATGCTGAAGATAGATTGGAGGTTTAGATGTACACACTACTTTTGGACTCCCTTCTCTCTCTGAAGAATAATAGTTCAATATCCATTCAAATAAACGAGGATGTGTACCCAAAGGACCAGTTGCCTTATGAAAGTCAACAATGCGGCATCTATTAAAAAATTGACAAAATGGTTTGGAAAATAGTTTTTAAAACATGTTCACCAATGGAGTTATCAAATACAAAAAAATTTTAATTTAGAACTAATTTTATCTCATCAATATTTTCCTAAGAAGAAAATAAATACAAGTTTCATTATGTATCTGGAAAAATGTCATTTTATGAAGAAATAATTATTTAAATAAGATTTAATAAGATTGATGACTGATATAAAAGTTACATTTTCTTTTCTTTAAAAGATTTTATTTATTTATTTATTTGAGAGAGAGAGAGAGAGAAACAGCGGGGAGACGTTCAGAGGGAGAAGCAGGTTCCCTGCTGAGCTGGGAGCCCGATGTGGGACTTGATCCCAGGACCCCAGGATCATGACCTGAGCCGAAGGCAGTCGCTTAACCAACTGAGCCACCCAGGCGCCCTAAAAGTTACATTTTCTGACATACAAAATCTCTATGAAGAGTAAATAAGGACCATACTTTTTTTTTTTTTTTTAAGATTTTATTTATTTATTTGACAGAGAGAGAATGAGAGACAGAGAGCACAAGAGGGAGGAGGGTCAGAGGGAGAAGCAGGCTCCCCGCTGAGCAGGGAGCCCGATGCGGGGCTCGATCCCAGTACCCACGGATCAGGACCTGAGCCGAAGGCAGTCGCTTAAAGACTGAGCCACCCAGGCGCCCCCATACTTGGTTTTTTAAAAGTCATCTACATGTAATCTGAGACACAACTTTCATTCTAAAGTCTCTAAACCTGATGATCAATTAGAAGCTGACTTCTAATTTTAATTCCGCAATAGCCATTCACATCTATCAAAAATATCCTGACTATTTTTCCTCTTGGCTCTCACAAATTCCAGTAACAGACAAGAAAAGAATACCTGCAAAGATCTCAGAAAAACCCTGTATGTACTCCTCTCATATATACATCTATCTATTCACTATTTGGCACTAGATCACAGTGGTATTCCTTCCTCAAGAGGAAGTCAGCCTTGAATTAATGAAATTATTTTAACCAGAAGCACTACTGACACTTCTCAGCAACTATTTTTAATAGGTCAGGTAGAAGCAAGGGGTGCCTGAGTGGCTCAGTGGGATAAGGGCCTAACTCTTGATTTCTGCTCAGGTCATGATCTCAGGGTTGTGGGATCCAGCCCCATGTCAGGCTCCCCACCGAGCAAAGAGTCTGCTTGATATTCTCTCTCTCCCTCTGCCCCTCCCCCACTTTTGTGCATGTGCTCTTTCTCTCTCTCTCATAAATAAAATCTTTAAAAAAATAATAAAAGTTCGGTTATAAGCAAAAGCAACTAAAAGCTTTTCTGTCACTTTAAAGTATAGGACAGATATCCTGTCCTTCCTTGTCTCTCTTAACAAAGTCTCCAAATACACCAAAATTATAATGGTTGCTATCCTTAGCCTCAGAAAGTTTAGTGTTGAGGCTAACATTCAACTGATTACTACTGAGTTTTAAATGCTGAAATGAACTTCTGGATAAATTGTTAAAAAAGTAGCTACAGTACTTTTGGGTTTGAAATTGACTACATATTTAGATTTAGAATCTGAATAGTACCCTACAGAATATAATTCATAGACAGCGAAAGGAAGACATTTAAACAAGTAGTAAAAAAATTCAGAGCATAGTATTAAAGAGGTTTTACTAAAAAATTAAACTATTTCAGGCACCAAGAAAACAGCTGGATATATCAGGTATTTTAGACAGATATTTTCCTTCCCTTAAACATGACTTGAAAACTTAGTATATGATATAATATATGTAATCTGAAAGTGTGAACAGACTGGCAAGAAGAAAAAATAAAGTTAGAGGACATTAAAATAGTCCTTTGGATTTAGAGATCATGACCTGAGCTGAAATCCAGAGTTGGATGCTTCATCAACTGAGCCACCCAGGCACCCCCAAAGTTTTTCTATTTAAAAGTTAAGAAATAGTTTCACCTCTGAATCTAATTAATTAATATGGTAAAAATGATGTGAAACAAACATAAAGGAAAACACAGAGCTATGAAGTTTAAAGGCAAACTTTCCATTAAAGATGATCATAAGCATCTATCTCTGTTCCCTCTTGAAAGCCCAACAACATAATACTGAAGGAGAAAATGATTCAAACAGCCAAAGACAAAGAGAATGGAGACAGACCAAACTGCCCTGCACTTTTGGAAAATGAAAAGCAGAAAGGAAACATAAAAGTGAATGAAAAAAACCAGACAATTGTCTTAAAATCCCAGAGAGGCTGGAAGCTTAGAGGCACTAGGTATTGGGGAGAGTAGTAATGGGGGTATAATGTGAAATGAATTGAAAATTTGCATAAAGAAGGCAAATCACTGCTTAACTACCCCCTCCATCAATGCAGGAGCTCTAGTCAGGAGAGTGGAGAATTCTCTGAATGGCCCCTAGAAAAGATCTCTTCCTATATAAAATTTTCAGAGTTCCCCAAACAAACAGAAAGCTTCCCCTAAAATTCTATAAATGAAGTCTGCTCATATGCAAGCTCCATGTAATCCTATAGGACCTCTGATCTTTTAGTGCCTCATCCTCACTTTAGGAATGGACAACTAGGGATTTACAAAAGTTCGAAGAAAGCCTTCAAAATGCAAAAGACTAAAATAAATAGAGTGAAAACAAATTAACATGGAAAAACCCCACAAATTCAAGGAATAGAAAGAAAATGTTGGGAAAAAATTTGCAACCATAACAGACTATGATGCTATGAAATTGCCCCTTAAAATTAAAAACATGATTGCTAAGATACAAATTTCAATAGAATAGTTGGGAGATAAAGCTGAGAAAATCTACACAGTAAAACAAAAAGCAAAGATAAAAAATGAAACATGACCAATAAACTTAGAAAGTCAAAGGAGTTCAGTGGCCAACTACCAGAAGTTCCAGAAAGAAGAATAAAGAAAATGGAGGAATCGTAATTATCAGTTAACTCTGAGCTCTTATTACATGCCAGTCACAGTTCTAAGCACTTGATCATCTCACTTAATATCACTGCAACTCTATGAAGCAGTTACTATTTACATGTTCTTTTTATCAATGGTGGGACTAGGCTGCAGACAAATTAAGTCATACAGCCAGCCAATAAGCAGGAAAACTAGAATCAATTGTAGGCAGTCTGACTCCAAAGTCTAAGCTCTTAACCACTATACTGAGATCTTACAATTCACAATTCTAGATTCAAAAGGAAAAACAAATGCCTAATACAATGAATCAAAGCCCCACATTCATGGTGAAATTTCATAATAGCAGGACTAAGAGATGATGCAAAAAACTTCCAGACAAAATAAATAGGTTACACATAAAAGGAATGAAAATCAGATAACATCTTACCTTCTCAATAGTAACACTGATTGCTAGAAGTCAACAGAGTAAGAACTTAATTTGATCTGAAAATGATTTTGAGTTTAGAATAACACAGCCACCCAAACTATTTTAAGTAATAAGGACTAGGCACCTTTTCTTAGGAAGCTAATGAAAGATGTGTTTAAGCAGAAGAGCAATCCAAAAAAGATAAAGACATGGAATCCAGAAAAAAGTCCTGGCTCTACTTCAAGAAAACAATGAAGAAATGCTACATGATTACAGCTTTGAAGGGAATCTAGGAGACTAGAGCAAAGACAATGGAGGGCTTCATGGAAGAAGTGTCCAGGAATAGGAGTGCCTCAGATTACATAAGTGGAGGTTGTGAAAAAGTTTGAGACCATGATGCAGTCAAACAGTAAAAAGGAAAAGAAAAGACAATTCTTAACTCAAGGAAAATTTTTAAAAGCTTTTCAGGAAAGGAAATAAAATCAGAAATGAATAATATTAATACAATTATTAATTATTAACCAAAATAAAAGGATTGAGGGTGAACACAGGTAAGAAATGTGAGGGAAATGCAACAATGTCTAAAACTGATTAACCAAAAAAAGAAAAGAAAAAAAAAAAAAGCCCTGAAAGCATATTATTCAGAAACAATGGACGTAACAGCTGCGTCTGAGAAATCAGACTTGAGAAGAGAGAAGAACATAAGATAGGGACTGAATTGCTGGTTTTTATAAGCCTTTCAGTGCCACTTAAATTTTATTTTTTAACTGTCCTTTGATAAAAGAAAAAAACAACAACAAAGAAAACCTCCCAGGTATGACAATAACCTTAACTTGGGTTTTCAGGTACATACTTTACCCTTAGGGAGGTCAGAAGTGTATATACTTCACATGCTCCGATCCAGGCCTTTGTTCCCTGTAACCTGTTATTAAGTTGAGAGGCACCCTGAGGATCAAAACCCTCCTTCCACGCATCTTCAATCATAGACTGAATTTTTGGAATGCAAGGAACTGACATACCTAAAATAATACAAGCAAACATGTTACATGATAGTTACTAAAGTACTATATATTAATTCATTCCATATTATATGTACAGTTGATCCTTGAACAATACAGGGAGGTTAGGGGCACTGATAGCCTGCACAGTTGAAAATCTGCATATAACTTTTTGCTCCCCAAAAACTTCACTACTAATAACCTACTGTTGACTGGGAGCCTTACCAATAAACATAAAACGAACAGTTGATTAACACATATTTTATATGTTATACATATTATATACTGTATTCTTATAATAAAGCTAGAACAAAGAAAATCATAAGGAAAAAATCATAAGGAAAATACATTTACAATATTAGACTGTAAAAAACCCACGTATATGCAGTGCAAACTCATGTTTTTCAAGGGCCAACTACATATCAGTGGACACGTTCAGAGAACTGTATTTCACATACCTTTCAAGCAATCGTCATAAGCATCATTTTGCAGTAATGATGAAAGTAGCATCTGGAAATTTCGGTAACCACAACCCCAACCTTTGTCACCAAAAGACGAATGAAAGTGATCCACCCCTGTGGAAAGCCACACGCGCCTCACATCTGTGGCCGCATTCTGATAGTATCTGTAAAGTGCTTCAATAATTCCTAAAATAAAAAAAGAGACTTAGAAGATTTAGAAGGATAACCTATCATCTTTGATGGCTGTCTCATATATTTCTAATATTAGTCTCTCCCTCAAGTGCCCCATCTAAATCCTGTCAATTCCATCTTCTTTATCTTTTTACTGTTATAACCTTTGTTCATGTCTTATTACTACTATGCAAGTTTTCCTAACACTAGCATACTACCTAAGACAATGGTGCCTCACTGTCTAGGTAATATGGTCTTAGCAACCACATCATATATAATTGCCAAAGAAAAATTTCCTCATAATAAAATTTTTTATCCTTGGCCCCTAAATTTCTTTAGATATTTTCCAATATCTTTTGTTAAATTATAATCTATTGTTAAACAGAAATAATAGCTTTAACTAATAGCTGCTTCAATTAACATTTGCACAACTAATAAAAATAAAAATCTTTGCCACACAATCACTGAATTTCAAAGCAGCTTACAAAAAGGACATAATACATTACAGAGCAGTATTCTTTAATCTTCTACAGATGTATTAGTATTAAATTATACATACTCTACTACATTCTATAGTAATTTTTAAACATATGCATAAATAGAAATTAAAGGGTGACATAAATTAAAAACAAATAGAAATTCTAGTATTTTCTTCCTGTATAACCTAATGAATCATATTCCACATCTGCTGGAATGTCATATCCCACAGAAACCTTTTTACATGGAAACGCTTGAAGAAATATAAAGATGGTCTTCAGAAACAGACTCATGGATATGAAAATATATGGCATAGGAAATTACAAATAAGTGGGGAAAGTACAGAGTTGCTTTCCTTTCTTATTGCTTGAGATACATCAGTAATAAGAACTTAAAAGTACTGTTATAAATAAGGGGAAAAAATTAAATCCACACCTTCTCTTTCTCTCTCTCCTTCTCTCTCATACACACTTATGTACAGATAAATCCCAAGTGAATTAAAAGTAGAAATAGGAAAAGCAAAGTATAAATGTTTAAAGAAAATATAAAGGAATATGTTTATGACCTCAGAGTTGGGGGATTTCCTTAAACAAGACACTTAGGATATAAATAAAGACAAAGGCAGAAATTTCATTAAATTCAAATTTAAAACTCTAATTAAAGATACCATACACAAAATTTAAAGGCAAATTATAAATATTGAAGAAGACATTTGTATTTCATATAATCAACAAATTAGTGTCCTGAATATTGAAGGAACTCCCACAAATCAGTAAGAAAAAGACAACCCAAAAGAGGACAGACAAAGGAAGGGAATGGGTTTTTTACTGAAGAAACTAACTCAGGAGTAATTAGGAAAATGCAAATTAAAATTTCAAAAACGAGTAGCAAAAATTAAAAAGTGTCACCATACAAAGTGTGAGTGAGAATACAATGATGCAAATGTAGATTATGATCATTTTGGAAAACAATTCTGCAATAACCTTAACAAAGTTAGAGATGTATATGCCCTTTAACCTAGTATTTCCAGTTCTGGATGCATTACAGAGAAACTCTTAAAAAAGACCTCTTGACAAAAGGGAACAAACTGAGGGGAGGTGGGTGGGGGATGGGGTAAATGGATAATGGGCATTAAGGATTAAAAAACAACAACAACAAAACCAACCAAACAAACAACAAAAAAAACCTATTCATAATTTGTATGAACAACCTAAATGTTTGTCAACCACGAAAACAGGTAAATAAGTTGTGTAAAACTCATACAAGGAAATACTATACCAGAGTCAAAATGAAGTACAGCTATAAGAATCAACATATCTGAGCAGACCAAATAGAAACAGATGTATATCAATTTATACATAGTTTAAATACATTAAAATATTACATATATTTATGGACACCTACATATATGGTAAAAGCATTACAATATACGAGACTAATAAATACCAAATTCAGGGTATCGGTTCTCCTTGTGGATGAGGAGGGATTAGAATCAGAAAGGGATGCACAAGGGATTTAAAATACATATGAGGTTTACAGCTTCAAAACAGTAAGATTAGGAATCTCTGTGGCAAGAACAAAGCTGTTTCCATATAAATTTTTTTACTACACTAATAGGTATATTAAAAAGATACCTTAAAAAACATCATGGAAAAGGCATTCTTTGGAGCAAGGCAGATATGATTGTGAATAGTAGCTGGGCCAATAAGTAGCTATGTGGTTACGTTGGGAAAGTAATTTAATCTATCTAAATCACAATTAACTAATCCAGAAAAATGTAAAAGTATACAAGTGAATGTCTGTTTTGAGTTAAATGATGCAATATATATATATATAAAGATCTTAGTGTCTAAATCTATACTAAAACAATATAGTAGGCACTATCTAAGTGTGACTATTAAGCACTTGAGATGTTACTTGCCCAGATAAAAATACTCTGTAAAGTATAAAATACACATTGGATTTTGAAGAATGTACAAAGATTGCAAAATATTTCATTAATAGTTTTTAATACTGATTATATGTTGAAATAATAATATTATGGACACATAGGGTTTAAAATACTAAAATTAATTTTACTTCATCCTTCTTTCTTACTTTTTCTAATGTGACTACTGGAATTAAAAAAATATATATGTATATATATATTTGGCTCGCTTATATTTCTATCACACAGCATTGATCTAGAACAGTAACCATCAATAAAAACTTCTAAAAGGCTCATTTTCAAATGTCAAGTAAATGAACACAATATAAAAGTAAATTATTTTTAAGTGAATTATTTAATGAAAAAATAAAAGTGCAGAGGTTTAAAAAAAACATTAAAAAAAATTATTTGAATAGTCTCACCTAAAAGTATACAAACTATGGATAATTAAAATTAAGCAAAATTTAAAAAATCCTGATTATTACTTCACTGTTACATGAAATACTAAAATAATGATTTTGATGTTTAAGTACTCACCAGAAGTTTTTGTTTTTCCATCATCAATACCAATAGCTAGCGATTCCATCATATCAGCTTTTCTTCTATGAAATTCAGATGGATGCATTCTTCCCCTATTGACTTCTATCTCCATATTTCGTAGTTGCTCTTGTTTGTATCCTCCAGAATTATCTAAACCATATTGTCTCTATCAAATATAAAAATGACTTACTTTTTATGTCCCTTTACCTCGATGAGGATGGAAACTTACTACAATTTTATTTACTTGGAAATGTACTTTGAAACATTCTGGTTTATAGCTTTGTGCAGTGGCAGTATCGTAGCCAATGAGGTTTATCCGAGGCGCAATTATTGCTAATTGAAACATTCTGGTTTACAGACTTTCATACAAGATTAGGATTTTTTATTAGATATTTTTATTTAAAGATTTTTCTTAAGATTTTTCTTAAAGATAAATAACACACACACACACACACAAATCCCTAAGTTAGTAACAGCCTTTCTCTGTTAACAACCACCAGGGTAAGAGATTTGCTTTCTTTGTATTAGGGAAGGTAGAGAATCCTGTCTTCCTACTAAAGGTATGGAAAAAGGCAGATGAGTTCTGAACATACCACTGATTTATTTAAGAAAACTTGTCAGTACTTATTATTTGGTTCCAGGCTAGCCTATGAAGGCCCACTTAATCCATAATTCATTCAGGCAGTAATTCTACATAGTAAATTAGCTACGTTTTTTTGCTCACTGGATAGAGAATCTCCAATGTATAACACAGCCTCTATGGAAAAAGTTTTTGAGATCTAAACAACTTGCAAAGTTACTTAACAAACTCCCTTAAATACTGGAAACTTTTTGTATTGATAATGTTCAAAATTATATAAGACAAAGAAAACTGAGGAAAAGCCAACTTTTTTTCCTCCTCTGAATCTTGGTGGGAAAACGTTTTGCAAATAAATGAATCACCAAGGAGAAAAATAGCCTAAATTAGATATTCTAAAATGAGAATTACATAGTCATATGTAACATCTGAGAAGAAAAACTCAGAAGTAGGTCTGAGAAATTATGGTATGTACAATGCACATTAGTATATTAAAGGTTTTGAGAAATCTTGCAGTATACAAACCTGTTTAACTGAATACTTTCAAACCTATTCAATCATAAGCCCTTTTTATTCAAACGTTACCCTATTAGCACATAGAAAAAGTTTTTAGAAACTCTGAGCATTATTAGCACAGGTAGTAGTTCACAGAAAATTATGACTGAAAAAAGTAGAAAAATCTATTAAAAATTTAAATGCATTAAAATATACTAGATGCTGCCAGTTTACTTCAGCAGATACCACCAACCCAAGATAAAGTCTCAAATACCACCAAAATTGGGTTTTCTATTAAAAATGGCTCTTTTTAAATGCCTGAATTGCAATCACTAAAAAAATTTAACACTCAGACAGGAGATATTAATTCTAAGTTTCTCTTTTAAGTATCTATCTATACAAACACTTAAATTCTGAGTACTTACTACCTAATCTGCCCTGTCAATTTAACATAGGTTTGAATCCAGGCTTTACCATTTAATACAGCCTGAACCTGAACAAACTACTAGCTACATAAGCACTCTGTCTTTACTTCCTCATTTGTCATTTAGGGAGTTGTGATGATCTTAAGATATTATATATGAAGTGCTTATCCCAATACATGACCAGAATGAGTACTTATAAGTGGTAGCTGTTATGAATTATAAAATGTGTATGTAAAAAGAGTATTTTGTATACCAACAATGACAAAAATAATAGGCTGCAGTCTTGACAGCATGTTTGAAAAATAAGAACTCTACCAAAGCAAAATATTACAATTGTTATTAATTTTTGTACCTGCAGCTTCTGAAATTCTCCCATTTCTTGTCGTGCTTCTTCAGATCTCCTCTTTCTGTCTTCTTCTTGTTGAAGCTGGTGAGCCAATTCTAGATCTCTAGAACACTGGACTCTATCTATGCCTATGAGATATTTTTAATGCTTAGAATAAAATAACTACTGAATTCAAATCTCACCTATTATATGTTAACTCATATCTTTTAAATGGAATAAATGCTATTATTTTGATATTTACTCATGACTATGATGTCACGGAAACACTGTTTCTAGCAGAACTTGAATGGCTTCTACAGGGTAGAACCTCCACTTAAATCACTAATATTCACTGAATAGGTAGGCTGTGACAAGCATTTTTCATTAATTATCTCATTTGATCCTCATAACAACCTTAGGAAGTTAGATATTATTTCCTAAGGAAACCAGAACTTAGAGAAATCAAGTAATACTCTTCATTGGTGTTCCTTATTAACACAAATAAGGAAGACTGGCTTTTAAAATAAACTGGGGGGAGAAAAGGAAATAATGAAGAGCATAAAAATATGTCTGCCAAGTATAGCTTTTTTTTTTTTTAAAGATTTTATTTATTTATCTGAGAGAGAGAATGGGAGACAGAGAGCATGAGAGGGGGAGGATCAGAGGGAGAAGCAGACTC